CACGGGGTTACTATGAGTCAGAATGGACTCAATGGCAACGAATTTGGTGGGGTTTTTTTTGTTTGACCCTTTGGAAGCAGATTGCCAGGCCTGTCTTCAGAGGCCTCTGGGTGAATTCCGATCACCAACCTTTTGGCTAGTAGTCAAGCCCTTTTTTTTGTGCCACACGGGGACTCATTAGTAACTTTCAGTAACTTTATCTTTACTAACTCAAATTCTGGCATATACACATGCAAGCTATATGTTCAAGCTTCCATTCCCACAAAACAGGTCTCTGCTTCTGAGTGATCTATTTCACTATATTTGTTGCATTGGCCACCGGTTAGAAGCATAACTTTACAAATGTCAAACCACATGAAATTATATATACTTATTTTTGGTACAGAAGTAAATCATATTTAATGTATAACTCATTCTAGATTTTCTTTTCAAAAACTATATATAGTCAGTTTCTTAAACATGCTATGAAAGTATAGTTTGCTTTAATGGGAAAAATAAACTTAAACATTCTTTATCATTTTGAAGCATATTTTCACTTCTGATTCATTAGTTCTCAATTTGTAAACTCAATTATTCTGAAATATCATATTTGGCAAAATTTGTTTTGCCTTCTATCAATGGTTCTCTTTTACAACAATCTATCTATGAGCTTTGGAATTTGGTACATTTAATTTAGTTGTCCACTACAAAATAATCATGATCAGCCAAATAAATTTCTCCCCTAACTGAGTTATCAGTTTTTTTCTAGGAAATAGTAAAGAATTTGGGTTTTTGCAAATAATGATCAATGAGAAGCCTAGCATTGAATTGAACTGGTGGAGGAGTGTAGATCACAATTGAAATATAGAAAAACAAGTTTTGTTTTCAGAAGGGGCCTGGGACTAGCAAGAGATATTTTCTTAAATAACTATAGGAAGATATTCGATTTAGAGGAAAAAGTGTTTGGTAATCCAAAGAAAGTATTAGGTCTCTTTAGTTAGAAAACAACTGAAAACAACCCCGAACTAATACAGGGGGAGAAAATGAATTTATTGCTATTGTAAGTGGGGACTGCAAGGGGAACAGCTGACCTATGGGCATCCAAAAACCTGAGCATCAGGTGATGTCAACAGGACAATGTCTCTTTCTCCCTAACTTTCAGCTATTCTTTCATCTATATTGGCTTCATTCTCAAGCAAGCTCTCCTAACAACATGGCAAAGATTATGTTGGGCTCACAGCAAACTGATCCCAGTAAAATGAGAGGTCCTTATTCCTGTGAGCTCCGGAGAAAGTCCTGGGGGAGATCTGTGATTGGTTCAGCTTTTGCCACATGCCCATGCTAGAAACAAACACTATATTTAGATTTACAGAACTTAGATGTTTATGTAAATGGTGAAGGAATTTTTTTCACAACATGTACACCAAGATTTGCAAGCTTCTACCCTAAGCTGTCTTCCTAAATTGAAAACACTAAATGTACTCTCCTGGACTTGTTTGGACCCCTGGTGGCTCAGTGGTTAAGAGCTTGACTGCTAACCAAAAAGGCAAGCAGTCTGAACCCACCAGTCGCTTCTTGGAAACCCTATGGAGCAGTTCTACTCTCTCCTTTAGGGTCGCGATGAGTCAGAATCGACTAGATGGTAACCGGTTTTATGTGCTTTTTTTTTCGGGGGCGGGGCTTGTTTAAATCGTCTGTTTTCCTTGCTGACTATAAATTGCAGCTTGTACTTTTCTGGACTTGCTTATCATTAGGGCATCTGCTTCTAAAAACTGATAATGGAATAGTTGTCTTGCCCCCACACCACGTTCTCTTTTCCTTGTTTCTTTTGTTGCTTATAACCAGTCTAAACACCTGTAACATATAAAACCTCTGCTAATTCCCAGAAGACAGGGCAGTCTCATTTTCAAACTGACCATCCTGCTAGTAGCAAATAAAGGCTTTTTCTTTGTTGCTCCACTTTCGTGAACTTTATTTCAGTACTCTTTTGACTGTTTTGTACTTATGAGTGTAAAAATTCTAAAAAATTTCAAGCTAGAAAATGAAAATAGTATAGGAATTTACAGGAAACTCATGGGGCAATGGGTTTATGTTAATGAGGAGGAATAATTCAGAAAAGGGGGGTGAGAATTGTTGCACAATGTCACTGAATTGTACATGTAGAAATTGTTGAATTCGTGTATGTACTGCTGTGTGTATTCTCAATAACAGCAAAAAATAAAATAAAGTTTAAAAATTATAGCAATTTGGTATAAATCAACTGACAATGACATTTCAATCTGCCATCCTCTGGAAGCCCCACCACTATTATATGCAAGTAATAATGCCCCATATACTTGACAGGAGGTGAGTAGTGCTAGCTAGATTAAACAAACGCATGTAGAAAAGTCCAGAGAGGAAAATGAGCTTGATGAGTTCCAAGAACTGAAATATTCTAATACTATTGAGAGGAAATGGATTAAGATAGTCATTGTTAACCAATGTCATAAAACAATATGTGTACTACTGTTTCATGAGAAACTATTTGTTCTGTAAATCTTCACCTGAAGTACAATAAAAAAAATTAAAAAAAAGAGGTAGTCAAAGCCCAAACTAGGGAGAGTTTGAGGATAATACGAATAAGTACCCTGGGAGAAAGATGTGGCAGTCTGCTTCCATAAAGATTTCAGCCTTGGAAACCCCGTGGGGCAGTTCTACTCTAGCCTATAGGGTCACTATGAGTCAGAATCGACTCGATGACAACTGGTTTGGTTTGGCTCAGCACTAGGGATACTGCAATGAACAATGCACACAAGGTCTCCTCTCCATGGAGCATATATTCTAATAGGAAAGACAATCCACTATTTCACAAGTATTGATTGAGGGCACATTACGTGCAAGGCACTATTCTAGGTACTAAGAATGCTACAGTGAATAGAACAAATACAAACGCCCTTTCACAGTTTACATTCTTGTGTCAGACAATAAATAAGTTGTCAAATAAATGCTAAAAAGGAAACAAATATGGTAATAGAGCAGCACTGTCCAACAAAACTTTCTGCAGTGATGGAAATGTTCCATACCTTTGCTGTCCAAAAGAGTAGCCATAGCCACATACGGCTATTGAACACTTGAAATGTGGTTATTGCAACTGAAGAACTGAATTTTTAATTTTATTTCATTTTAATTTAAATTCCACACTCACTTACTGCTTGATCCAGTGGCTCATTTATATTGCTGTCATGGATTGAATTGTGTCCTCCCAAAATATCTGTCAATTTGGCTGGGTCATGATTCGCAGTATTGTATGATTGCGTACCATTTTGTAATCTGATGTGATTTCCTTTTGTGTTGTAAACTCTATCACTATGATGTAATAAGATGGATTAGCGGCAGTTATACTGATGAGGTCTACAAGATTAGATAGCGTCTTAAGCCAATCTCTTTTGAGATTTAAAAGAGAAAAGTGAGCAGAAACACATGGGGACCTCATACTACCAAGAAAGCAGCGCCAGGAGCAGAGCGCGTCCTTTGGACCGGAGGTTCCTGCCCTGAGACGCTCCCAAATCAAGGGAGGATTGATAACACGGACCTTCCTCCAAAGCTGACAGAGAAAGCCTTTCCCCGGAGCTGATGCCCTGAATTTGGACTTGTAGCCTACTAGACTGTGAGAGAATAAATTTCTCTTTGTTAAGGCCATCCACTTTTGGTATATCTGTTATAGCAGCACTAGATGACTAAGAAAATCACTATGGGTTTTTTTTGTTTGCTATTAACTCTCTGTCCGGAGACTCTTTATTCACATAGTTCTAAGGGAAGTCCCAATACAACAAGTGAATCAAAATTTTCATTTAAAAATTTCCCCCAATGAGTCCTATGTACATTAAAGTTTGATGAATATTACCCTACAACACCCAAGAGTTCTGGTAATCAGGGATTAAGTTTATGCTGGAGATACAAATTAAAGCCATCATTTTGGAGGAGATTACCTACAGGAGAAAGTATTCATGAAAAGATTAAGGCCTGGGGTAAATCCTGAAGCATCCAGCATACAATGGCCAGTAGAGAAGGATGAGGCAGCTAAGAAGACCTGGAAAGAGTAGCTACTGGAATAGGAATAAAATCAGGTGTGCTTGGCATCCTGGAAGCTGAGAAAGGAGAGTGTTTCAAAAGGAAATGCTTGTGTTGAATACTGCTGAGATGTTGACTACCCTGAAAATAGAAAAGTTTGTCTTGGAGGTTTCTGATGTCTTCTAGAAAAGCAATATCAGTGGAGAAGTTTGCAGAGTGACCTGGAGGTGATGAACAAGTAGAGACAGCTCATTCAAGTTTTTCCGTAAAAGAGAGGTAGAAATGGGGCAGCAGTTAGGGCTGAATCAGAGAACTTTGCTTTGTTTTTAAGATAAATTTGAATGCTGATGGGAAACAATTCAGGAGAGAAGGAGAAATTGATGATTCAAGTTAGAGAGAAATAACTGAAGGAGTGAAATTATTGAGAAATTGAGAGATGGGATCCAGACTACAAGGAAGAGTTTGTCTATGAAAGGGGCAACAATATTTTTAGCAATACTTTCAAAAGGATAGCATCTGTTTTCTCAAAGAAGTGTGAAATATTAGAGAGTGATTTGAGCTTACTAGAAAAGCCTGACAGGCTTTCTGGGCAATGTAGGGTGCCCAACAAGGTTTATGATCAGAACCGAAAATAATCAGCTAAATTGGGACATTTTCTTTAGGTACGTTAGGCAATGGTGAGATCCTTGGTCCTCTGTTGATCTAGAGTTAGAACAATCCTTTGGGCTTCTCTCAGAACTTCCCTTCATTCGCGGGGACATTTGGAGCTGTATAACGCACGGCGCCTTGCTGCGAGAAAACGTGATGGCGACACTCGTCCTAATTGGATTTCAACTCCTCAAATTTGCCGCTTGCAGTAAATTGCCTCCCAAACCAGCCCTAGCCGCCCTCAGCAGTTGCAAGGCACACCTCCAGGCACCAGGGGGTGCAGTCGCGCGACTCATGGCCGGAAGAGAGCCGGCTCAGGATGACCTCGACGTTTCCGCCGTGCGTTCGCAGTGTTCCGTACGCTCTTTTCGTCGCGAGCCCCGGGAGTAGGCGTTTCCGGTCATTCATACTCCCGTTCGGACGGTGATCTGTTCTCTGGTATCGTGCGCTATCGGGCCGAAAGGGTGACCGCGCTGCTAGGATGAAGCTCGTGAGGTGAGGAGGCTACGAAGCGGTGTGCGGGTTTCGAAGAGAGGGTTTGGGCCAGAGTTGGGAGACTCGGCTGCCCCAGCTGCAGGAGGCGCGAAAGTCGCGTGCGCGCGCGCGGCCTGGTAACGGCCTCCGGCGCCCGCTGCTTCCACCCTTTTGGCAGCGCGGGTGGTGCTCCGGTCCGGGCTTCAGACTGGGTCGCGAGGGATCCCTGTACTCTTCTAAGAGGTGGACTTAAAGGCGGAGCCATTTCTTCCCATTTATTGTCTTAGAGTTCTTAACGGTGCTTCGCAGGGTTTACGAGCATTTTCGCCTCGTTACCGATTTTCATTTTGAGGGGGAACTCGTGCTCTAGTCGAGGTTACTTTTTTGGCCCGTCTCAACTCCCAAGAAGCGGCTAATATGAATAGGTCCATGTGCCCTAGGAAGGTGGGAGGCGTAGCGAAATATTGTATTTCTTCGGTGAGTAGTCCTTCAAATTAATGCGTTTTTCATGATGAAACTGTTAACGTCGGCTTAAATAAGTACTTAGAAGCAGCATGACTTCATCTGGAAATATTGAAATCTATTTCTAAAATATTTTAAATCAGGGATGGACTCGGACTTTATATGTATACACATATATGTATATGTAGCTTATTTTTTGATATTTTTTGGACTTGTTATTCAATCCACATTTTTCTTAAGGTACACTTCTAGGAAGATCTCGCAATGTGGGGCAGAAGTCATTACTATTCGTGTTTGTGGCTGATCACACAGATAATAGGTTTTGCTTCCACATTTTCCTTTCTTTGACTTTATACTTTGTCCATTAGCTCTGCCTACTGAAGACTTGTTTACCGATTTGAGTACTTCATTCCAAACTACCTGCAAATAGATTAGGTTTGGCTATTTTTCCTTTTGACTGATCTTGAAACACGGGTGGAGGTTTCTAATAAGTAAGTGAGCAGTTAAAATACTTAGCTAGGTTTTTTTTTTTTTTTTTTTTTGTCTGTTGAGTCAAGGATTGTTAATGTCAACCGAACTGTTATTGGGCACCTGTTATACCGTGCGCTGGTAATAGAACCATTAAAAAAAAAGAGACAGCATCTCTACCTTGCTGGAGTGGTGAAGACAGACAAGTAGATGCTTTCTAGTATGCTTGAAATAACATAAAAGCCTCAGTACTTCTATAGAAGGCATGTATGGTTAATTTGTGGCCCATGTTTATATGGAATGTAGCTTTGGAGAAAAATGGCTCAAATTTAAAGAATATTTTTGCAATTTCTGAATACCTACCAGTTTGTATTTATTTACAATTAGGTTTTATGTAGTATTCTGTGTCTCATTTAAAGGCATTTCATGTTGTGACAGAATTTTCTTGTAATTTTTTATTTTTATTTTGTTTATTGTTGCAGTTTAAATGAAGTTTACATTTCAAGTTAGTCTCCCATACAAAAATTTATACGTACATTGTTATGTGACCCTAATTGCTTTCCCCATACTATGACACCACACTCCTTTCCACCGCTGATTCCCCATGTCCATTCAATCAGCTCCTAACCCTCTCTGCCTTCCGACTCACCTCCGGACAGAAGCTGCCTGTTTAGTCTCTTGGATCTACTTGAGCTAAGAGGCACTCTCATCACGAGTATCACTTTACGTCCCACAGTCCAGTCCAATCCCTGTCTGAAGAGTTGGTCTCAGAAATTGTTTTAGTTCTGGGCTGTTAGAGAATCCAGGGGCTATGCTTTCCGGGGTTCCTTCAGACTCATTCAGACCATTACGTCTGGTCTTCTTACTAGAATTTGAGTTCTGCACCCCACCTTTCTCCTGCTCCATCAGGGACTCTTTTGTGTTCCCCGTCAGGGCGATCATTGGCAGTAGCCAGGCACCATCTAGTTCTTCTGGTCTCAGGCTGATGAAGTCTCTGGTTTATGTGGCCCTTTCTGTCTCTTGGGCTACTACTTTCCTTGTGTCTTTGGTGTTCTTCATTCTCTTTTATACGAGGTGGTTGGGACCAATTGATGCATCTTAGATGGCTACTTGTAAGCTTTTGAAACCCCAGACGACACTCACCAAAGTAGGATGCTAGAATTTTCTTGTAATTTTTAATGGCTGTACTGACACTGGAAGGTCAGTGGTTCAAACCCACCATGCGCTGTTTTGGGAAAAAGATGTGGCAGCCTGCTTCTGTCAAGATTTACAGCCTTGGAAATCCTGTGGGACAGTTTTATTCTGTCCTATAGGGTCGCTGGGAGTCAAAATCAACTAGATGGCAGCAGGTGATACTGGTATACTGAAACCCATTCTGTGTCTTAGGTGGAATATAGAAACAAAATTTCTTCTTACTGGAAAATGTATTTTGCCTGGAGAAAATGATATTTGACTGACTAGTTTGCATTTTCATCTGACTAATTCTGCATCTCAATTCGTGGCACTCTCATCCTTATCCTTACAGTCACCCTAACCAAAAACCTGGGAGTCTTGAACCTGATTTCTTTCTCTCCCTGATAATCCTCACATTTGAGAAATCACTAGGTTTTGCCAAGTATACTTCATAGCAGTATCTCTCACTATTCCATTCTGTTTGGTTTTTGAGTTCAGATGGTGTGAGTTTGGGTACTGACGAAAACCATATTGTCTGGATCTATTTGGTATCTAAATTTTGGGTGTTAAGTAGAAGGAATTCAGAGAGTGAAGTTTTCATCAGAAAATAATTTGAATTTATTTGGCTCCTGGGCTCTGATAGGAAGGGATAACTGCCTATTTGTCGTCCTCATAATACCCTCCCTTTCATTCCAATCACCACAACTGAAGTTCAGGCTCGTTTTTTCCCCCTGCAGGCTCTCTTTTTTATTTCTCCTTTTGAGGTATATGTTTCGTACAATGAAATGTAATATACATTTCCCAAATTTGAAATTTTTACACACATGTGTATCCCAGTCCCTGTCAAGACACAGAACATTACCACAATCTCAGAAATTTCTGTTAAACCCCTTCTCAGTCATATCTTTGGCCCTATCTCTCCAGAGGCAACCAGCTTCTTCCACCATAGTTTAGTTTTGCCTGCACTAGAACATCATACATTTGGAATCATGCAGTATGTGCTCTCTCTAAAGTTTCTTTTCCTCAGCATCATGTTTTTTGAGATTAATTCATGTCGTGATGTGTACTGGTAATTTACTCCTTTTTATTGCCCAGTAGTCATCCATTGTATGTTTAAAACTGCTAAGAACATTCTTGTACAAGTCTTTTTGTGGATATAAGCTTTCATTTCTTTTGGGTAAATGCTTAAGAGTGGAATTGCTGCATCTTGCACTCCTAGATATACCTACATCCATAGATTTTTGTTGGTTTTATAGGAAACTGCTAGACTATCTTCCAAAGTGGTTGTACGATTTTATACTCCCACCACTAGTGTAGCGTTGCAGTTCCTCCACATCCTCACCAGCTGTCTTAGTTGTCTAGTGCTGCTATAACAGAAATACCATAAATGGGTGGATTTAACAAACAAATTTATTTTCTCACGTTTTAGGATGCTAGAAGTCCAAACTCAGAAAGGCTTTATCTTTGAGCTTCTGCTCCTGGGTGATCTTCATGTGGCTTGGCATCTCTCTTCCCCCATCTTTGTTTCTCACTCGATTGTTTAATCTCTTTTATGTCTCAAAGAGATTGATTCAAGATACACTCTACCTAACCTTCCCTCATTTGTATAACAGAGACAGCCCATTCACAAATGGGATTATAACCACAGGCACAGAGGTCAGGATTTACAGTACATTATTTTGGGGAACACAGGTCAATCCAACAGCATTCATTGTTGTCAGTCTTTTTAATTTTAGCCATTTTAATTTGCATTTTTTGATGACTAATGATGTTGAGCACTTTTTTACCTGCTTATTGGCTGCTTGTATATATCTTCTTCTGTAAACTGCCTGTTTGAATCTTATTTTTATTGTGTGTTTTTTTTTTTTAATTATTGAGTTGTAGGGATTCTTTATGTATCCTAGATAACAGTTCTTTGTCAGATATGTTTTTTCACTTTTTTTTTTTGCTTCTTCATTTCTTTATTTTCAAGAAGTCTTAATTTATCAGCATTTTGTTTTATGGTTATTGTTCTCTATGTCAGGAGCCCTGGTGGCTCTGTGGTTAAGTACTTGACTGCTAACCCAAAAGTCAGTGGTTCGAACCCACCAGCTGACTCCGCAGGAGTAAGATGTAGCAGTCTGCTTCTGTAAAAATTACAGCCTTGGAAACCTTATGGGGCAGTTCTATGAGTCAGAATCGACTTGATGGCGATGAGTTTTTTTTTGGTGGGGGGGATTCTGTATGTCCTTTCAAACAAACCTTTAAAACTCAAACCAAACCTGTTGCCTTGGAGTCGATTGCAACTCATAGCGACCTTATAGGACAGAGTAGAACTGTCCCATAGAGTTTCCAAGGAACAGCTGGTGAATTCGAACTGCTGACCTTTTGGTTAGCAGCCGACCTCTTAACCACTGCAGCACCAAGGCTCCAAAAGAAGCCTTTACATACCCTCAAATCATGAAGTTATTCTCCTCTAAAAGCTTTTTATGATGTTTATGTTTAGGTCTGTTATCGATCTTGAATTGGTTTTTGTAAATATTTGGAGTTGGGGTCCTAGTTTATTTTTTCCATATGTATTTCCAGTTATTCCAGCTTTGTTTTGCTGAAAAGACTTTCCTTTCTCCATTGGACTGCTTTGGCACCTGTGTAGAAAATCAAATGACATGTGGTTCTATTCTGGGCTCTCTATTCTGTTCCACTGATCTATTTGTCATTCCTTACATCTTGACTACTGTAGCTTTAACCTGGATGCTGCCCTAGCCACCTAATTTGTCTTCCTCAAGATTGTACTTTTGTCTCTCTAAAATCTATCCGTACATCTGCCCTAGGTTCTCTTTCAAGTGTGACTCTCCTAGAGGAGTTCTTTAAGAGTACTCGAGGCTCTCTATGAAAGGAACTTGCTTAACTCTTCCCCACTTGTTTTCTTGAGCTTTATATTCCATCACATGTACCCACAGTTGTCCTTGGGTGGTTACCATGCTTGGCTGCTAACTGAAAGGTTGGAGGTTTGAGCTTACCCAGAGGCACCTTGGAAGAAAGGCCTGGCAGTCTACTTCTGAAAAAAAAAAAATCAGCCATTGAAAACCGTTTAGAGCACATTTTGACTCTGACACACATGGTGCTGTCATGAATCAGAGTCACTCATGGCAACTGTTGGTTTGATTTTTTTTTTTTTTTTTTTAGTGCCCACAGTTACCCTGCACATTGTGCTGTTTCTTACCACTATGTCTTTGTTGTTTGGTCTCTTCACTTTATACTTGGAGTCCCTGGGTGGCACAAATGGCTAACATTCTCAGCTGCTAACTTAAAGGTTGGAGGTTTGAGTCCACCCAGAGGTACCTCAGAAGAAAGGCCAGGTGATCTACTCTGAAAAATTAGCCATTGAAAACTCTATGGAGCAGAGTTCTACTCTGACACACATGGGATCACCATGAGTCAGAATCGACTTCACAGCAACTGGTTTGCTGTGTATTACCAACTTTTCAGACTTCTTACTAGAAGTCCATCAAGATCTGACTCCCCTCCTCCTCATACTGCGTTAGGTTCCTGGTAATAACCTGTACAAATCTCTGTTTGCATTCTACATTTTATAGGTATTTTTAAGTATCTTATATGTCTGTCCTTTCTACTAGATATTGCACTCCTTGAGGGTCTTACTCACTTTTAATCTTTATTACCCGGCATTGGGACTACCACATAATAATGATAAATATTATTTATCACAGAATTATCCTTGGACTTGCTGGGGTGTATTTTTACTTTTTAGAGACCTTTGTGTTTACTTCATGGTTTTTCTTTTACTTCCATATGGCAGATTGCCTGATTACTTACTAAAGTATTTTATTTTTAGTTTAACCCTGCCTGCTTCCGAAAAAGATTTGAAGAGCCTTATAGTAAAAGTGGAGCCCTGGTGGCACAGTGGTTAAGAGTTCAGCTGTCAATCAAAAAGGTCAGCAGTTGAAATCCACCAGCAACTCCATGGAAACCCTGTGGGGCAGTTCTGCTTTGTCCTATAGGCTCACCATGAGTTGGAATCAACTGAACAGGAATGGTTTTTTGTTTTTTAAATAAAAGTTACTACTCAGTGGGAAAATTAAAATAAAAGGTAGAAAACCAAATTCTAGGATAGTAGAATTATTATTGCTCATTAAATTAAGAGCCAAATTAAATAACTCCTGTCTAGTGAAATAAAATACTAGCAGTTCATTGAGAGAGACTTTTTTCTTGACATCAAATACTAAAAGGGATTGAACACATGAATCTTTATATGAAGACATAAGTCGATTTTAAAGCTTATGACTTGATATATTCCAGACCAAGTACTTTCCCTTTTTGTTATGACTGTATCACTAAAAAAGTGGTACTTTAAGGGTGGATTCACATTAATCGTTGAAACGTTTTAGCCAGTGTTATTCAGGCCCTGTTACATTCCAGAATTAGAACACGGAGGATATAAAAAGATCATAATCCTCACACTCAAGCCTAGTGGAGGAAGAAAACAAGTCATCCTACATGTACCATTTAGTCTGAAAGATGGTATGATCAAGTGTACAAAGTACATATTAAAGACTAAACCAATTGTTGAGTCGATTCCAACTCATGCCAATCCCATGTGTTTCAGAGTAGAACTGTGCTCCACAAAATTTTCAAGGCTGTGACCTTTCAGAAGCAGATCACCAGGCCTTTCTTCCAAAGTGCCTCTGGGTGGGTTGGAACCACCCAGGGACTCCTTATTCAAGACCAGAATTTTTGAATATGCACGGCGTATTAGATGATATTGTGGGTGATTGTTCATTTTCTTAGATGTGGTCATGGTATTATGGTTATGTGGGAGAGTGTCCTTAATTAGAAAAGCATTATGAAGTGTCATAATGCCTGTAGCCTACTTTCACATGGTGTGGTAAAAGTATAAGCGTGTGTATAAAGAAGGGAAAACAAATGGCAACATTTTAATAATTTGTGAATCTTTCAAATTTTCTTCTTCTACAGTGTTTTACAACAAAAAGTTAGAGCAGAACAAAAGACTGGATGAAATGGGGGAATAGATAGATTATTCAGTAAGTATTATTGAGGCAATTGCTATCCAGTTCTGGAAAATAATAAAGACAGATTCTTAATTCCCACTATACAGAAAAAAGATGAATTTTGGTGAAGGTTTACACAGCAGTTTAGGTTCCCATTCAACAATTTCTACACATTGTTTAGGGAAGGAGACTGTTTTTACAAACATGAGGTGGGGAACGTCTTCCTAAGCAACTTATATACCCCAGAAAAATTGACAAAATTAACAGCATATGAATGAGGGAAAATTGTATGACTAAAGATACCATGAACAAGTAGAAAATTAAAAGAAAAACTCAACCTAATTGAACATGGTGTGCATAAAACCAAAAAACCCACTGGCATCGAGTCAATTCCAACTCATAGCGACCCTATAGGACAGAGTTGAACTGCCCCATAGAGTTTCCAAGGAGTGGTTGGTGGATTCCAACTGCTGACCTTTTGGTTAGCAGTTGAGTGCTTACCCACAGTGCCACCAGGGCTCCATATGTACATAAAGTGAATAAGTAATTCACAGAAGAAATAATTGTCTATATTCACAGGACAATATTCAATCTCATAAGTAGTTGGGGAAAAACAAATTGCCTTTTTTTCCCTATCAGATTAGCAAAAATTTAGAAGATTAGTAACAACTAGTGTTGGTGAAGGTTAGCAAACAATTGGCACCAATCTAGTTTCCATCAGCCAGGATAGTAAAGTAAATTATGATATTTTCATATAGTGAAATACTCAACAACAACAACATCCAGCTCTTAGAATGTTCTTTACTTATTGACATGGAAATATTCTAATATAAACTGTTAAGTGAGAGATATGAGTTATGAAAGTTACTAAAGTATGTAAAAACAAATTTTATATATCTGTTTATGAATGCACATAAAAAGATCTAAAAGAATATCCCCCCAAACTTAGAAGGGATTAGGAAGTGAGATTCTTACTTTATTCTATACACTTACAGTAAGCGTGTATATTTTTTACTGCCAGTTATAATCTCTTGGTTTCTTTTTTGTGGTTATAATGCTAGGATTCTGTATGTCTGGATTTTGGTTAAGCTATATGATGGTTTAAAGAATCAGAAACTTCCAAATGATATTTTGTTGTTACTGTGCCCCTTTGTAACTGTTGAGGATATAATTCAGGGGCAGCAGAAATTGTTATGAAAATTATTAATAGGAATTGATACAGATAGTACATGTAGCAAATGTTCAAGTTCTAGAAATTTCACTCTTTTCAACTCAATAAAAATGATTTTAAAATGTTAAGAGTAACAATTTATGGTTTTATTCCTGTCATCTTTATAGGTTTTTGATGAAATTGAGTCATGAAACTGTAACCATTGAATTGAAGAATGGAACACAGGTCCATGGAACAATCACAGGTATAGCTTTTATAAACGCTTTTCCCCCCCTCATCTCCTCCACTTGCAAATGAGAATTCTTTCTTGATTGCCTAATGAATATTATTATAGTATAAATCGTCATTCTTTTTTTTTCTTTTATTTTTGGTGAAAATATATACAGCAAAACTCACTCCACTTCAGCAGTTTCTAGACGTAGTGATCAGTGACATTGGTTACATTCTTCACATTGTGTCAGCATTCTCATTATTTCTGTCCTAGTTGCTTCACTCTCATTGACTTGAACTCCTGTCCCCCAATCTTCTCATGTATGCTTTAAAATAGTTCTCGTCCATTTGGTCTTATATAGATGATTTTTAAAAGAACACAATACTCAAGGGTGACAATCTTTACTTTTTGAGCTAAAGTGTTACTTAGTTTAAAGATGACTTTAGGGGATAGTTTCAATTCAAGGTTTCGAGAGTAACTCAGTGCAATAGCGTCAGGGACTCCATAGTCTTGACTCTAGCCTCAGTAGGTCCAGTAAGTCTGGATTCTTTAAGAATTTTAAGTTCTGTTCCACAGTTTTCTCCGTTTCTATCAGTTCTATGTATTGCGTCCCTGCAGATAGTCATTCTTTTTGTCCGAATTATTTCATTGACATTCCTACTTAAGCCTCACCTTAAGAATTGCTTATACTATAACCAAATTGAATTCCCCACCTTGTCCTGTATGTGACCCCTGTATTCCTTCTTTTATGCCTTTGCTTGTGTGTTCCTCTGCCTGGAATGTTCTTCCAAAATACATTTTCCTTCTTTTTTTTTTTTTTTGTGCTTCAGATGAAGGTTTACAGAGCAAATTAGTTTCCCATTAAACACTTAGTATACATATTGTTTTGTGACATTGGTTGCCAACTCCAGAATGTATCAACACTCTCCCCTTCTCGACCTTGGGTTCCCCATTATCAGCTTTCCTGTCCTCTCTTGCGTTTTAGTCCTTGTCCTTGGGCTATAGTGCCCCATTAGTCTTGTTTTGTTGTATGGGCCTGTCTAATCTTTGGCTGAAGGATGAACCTCAGGAGTGACTTCATTACTGAGCTAGGAGGGTGTCTGGGGGCCATACTCTTGGGGTTTCTCCAGTCTCTGTCAGGCCAGTAAGGCTGCTCTTTTATTGTGAGTTAGAATTTTGTTCTACATTTTTCTCCAGTTCTGTCTGGGACCATCTGTTGTGATCCCTGTCAGAGCAGTCAGTGGTGGTAGCCAGGCACCATCTGGTTGTACTGGCCTCAGTCTGGTGGAGGCCACACTCACAAGCTTTTAATACCCCAGATGCTACTCACCAAAGTAGGATGTAGAACACTTTACAAACTGTGTTATGCCAGTGGAGCTAGATGTCCCCCAAGACCATGGTTCCCAGCCCTCAGCCCAGTAATTCGGTCCCTCAGGGAGTTTGGATGTGTCCGTGAAGCTTCTGTGACCTTGCCTTGGTCAAGTTGTGCTGACTTTCTCAGTATTATGTACTGTCTTACTTTTCACCAAAGTTACTACTTACTATTGTCTATGTAGTGTTTATCCTTCCCCTCCCTCGTAACCATCAAAGATTGTTTCTTTTTGTGTGTAAACCTTTTCATGTGTTTTTATAATAGTGGTCTCATACACTGTTTATCCTTTTGTGATTGACTTATTTCCCTCAGCATAATGCCCTCCAGATTCATCAGTGTTGTGAGATGTTTCGCAGATTCATCATTGTTTTCTATCGTCGCATAGTATTCCACTGTGTTTATCCGTACCACGGTTTGTTTATCCGTTCATCTATTGATGGCACTTAGGTCGTTTCCACCTTTTTGTTGTTGTGAATAATGCTGCAGTGAACATGGGTGTGCATATGTCTGTTCATGTGACGGCTCTTCTCTAGGATATATTCCTAGGAGTGGGATTGCTGGATTGTATGCTATTTTTATTTCTGGCTTTTTAAGAAGGCGCCATAGCATTTTCCAAAATGGTTGTACCATTTTGCATTCCTACCAGAATACATTTTACTTTTATTAGAATTTTGTGTCCCAGCTCAACAGCACATCATGACAACAATAGAGTGTAAAAGGAGCCCTGGTGGTGTAATGGTTAAGTGCTTGGCTGCTAACTGAAAGGTCAGTGGTTCTAACCCACCAGCTGCTCTGTGGGAGAAAGATGTGGCAATCTGCTTCCATAAAGATTTGCAGCCTTGAAAACCTTGTGGGACAGTTCTACTGTGTCTTGTAGGGTCGCTAAGAGTCAGAATCGGCTCCACTGTAGTGGGTTTATTGGAGTGTAAAGGGGCAAGGGATGAGTAGGGTTCTGTGTCTGATTATCTTATGGAAAATATGTGGAAAATAGGGAAGTAGGGAGATGACCATAATTTTCCTGGACTGAGACAATCACTGTTAGGTTAATATTTTGGAGTATTTTCCTTCAATTTTTTTCCTTATGTGTTAATGCTTTGCTTTAATAATATTGTATATTTAGTTTTATATTTCAGGCCCACTGAGATTCTTTCCTCATAGTAAATGTTCCAAGAAATTGAAAATTTTCGAAAGAATCGATGAGTCAAATGAAAGAAAATACTACTTCAGCATATGTTGCCACCCTCTGAAATAATTTAGCTATTATTTGTGGATATGCTAGAACTTTGCAACACCAGTTGCTGTGAAAGGAATTCAATACAATACAATGTCTTAATATGGTCTATGACCATATCTAAGGAAGTGTAATTATTGTCCTGATAAAATTCAGTAAAGAGTGAGTTACTCTCTTCTGTCCAGAGCACTGTGTGAGATGTTGTGGAGGAACCAAAGATTGTGATTATGATTTGTGGAAAGGAAATAGTAATTAGTGTAGACTGCTTCTTTCTTATTTGCTAAGATCCTAATTGATATCAACAAAATCCTTTTCTGTAAAGTCTTCTCCAGTAGAGATTAGTATCTAATTCCTGTAGCTAATTCAAAGGAAATTGGTTAACTCATTCTGCAAAACTTTGACTATTTATTGTATATTAGATATTGATAGGCCCTGGACAGAGGTAGAAATTACAGACTTAGTATGGGGGTAGCACTGAGAAAGCTGGAAACAATAGGTCATGTTGAAGAAGTGTGTGATGAGAGTCAAGGAACTAATCTTAGAAGAGAAGGGATGAGCTTTTGAAAGAGAATAGTAGTATGTGCATAGGCATGAACCATAACAAACTTGGTGAGTCCAGAGAACATCATCTTATTTGCAGTGAAGTAAAGATGGGGATTCAGGGATGGAGGAACAGTAGAGGTAGAGGAGACCAGCTTGTGAAGGGCCTTGAATGTTATACTGTGGAATTCAGGTATTGTCCCTTAGCTGATGGAAACTACTGAAGGATTTACATAACCTACTGGCATGAGATTAGCATTTTAAAAAGATAACTGGTGATGTTTGGAAGTTGGACATGTAGGGAAAAGACGAGTCTAGCTAGGTGACTATTATAAAAAATAAATTAAGAAAGAATAAAGAGGATTTGACATTCACTTGCTGCTTATAAGCTTGAATTGAATGGACTTGGTGAATCAATGAGGGGGAGAGGTAGCATCCAAGGATGAAATGGCTTTAGAGTACCAGGAACTTCTCTCCACATCTATCCTCACCTGCAGAGAAATGTTTCTGTCAGGATGAATTTCCTACAAGGCCCTGCATTTCTTGTACAATTAAGACTAGTTGAGATTGAAGGCTAGTTTGTAAGGAAAAAGTAAAAATGCCTTCTTGTCTTCAAAGTAGGCAAGATTGGTTACTTTGGAGAATTCAGTGTACACAGTATTGTTCTTACCTAGGAAATGACAGTGTCTTGGCATGTCCTCTAACTTGAAGTCTAGAGAGTGACAGAAAGTAACAGTCTTCATTTAGTCCATGGGGACACAGGGATGAAGAGAGAGGGCTGTGGAGTAAAGAAGGAAAAAGATAAGAGAGAAATGGAGGAAAAGAAAAAAGGGAATGAGACTGGACATAAAAAATTGAGGAAGATAGAAAGATAAGGGAATGATACCTCAGAAAAAGAAATAGATGAAAGGGGAAGAAAAAGGAATTGTGTTTTTTTGCATGGTTTGTGTCTTTTTTTTTTCCCCAAATCAGCCTGGAAATTTGAAATTGATGAATGAATGCTGCAAGATATGGTTGTGGGAAGAAAATAGATAATAAAGTCAGAAATTTCAACAAGAATGCAGAGCAAAGCATACTTGAATTTTATCAAATCAAGTACCTTGTTGCTGTTAGGTGCCACGAAGTTGGTTCCGACTCATAGCGACCCTCTGCACAACAGAACGAAATACTGCCTGGTCCTGTACCATCCTCACAATTGTTGCCATGCTTGAGCCCATTGTTGCAGTCACTGTGTCAGTCCATCTCATTGGGGGTCTTCCTCTTCTTTGCTGACCCTCTGTTTTACCAACCATGATGTCCTTCTCCAAGGACTAATCTTTCCTGATGATGTGTCCAAAGTACATGAGATGTAGTCTTGCCATCTTGGCTTCTAGGGAGCATTCTGGTTGTACTTCTTCTAAGATGGATTTGTTCGTTCTTTTGGCGGTCCATGGTATATTTAGTATTCTTCGCCAACCCCACGATTCAAAGGCGTCAATTCTTATTAGGTCCTCCGTATTCATCGTCCAGCTTTCGCAATGCATATGAGGCAATTGAAAAACGCCGTGACTTGGGTCAGGCGTGTCTTAGTCCTTAAAGTGACACCTTTGCTTTTTAACATTTTTAAGAGATCTTTTGCAGCAGATTTGCCCAGTGCAATGTGTCATTTTATTTCTTGACTGCTGCTTCCACGGGCATTGATTGTGGACCCAGGTAAAATGAAGTCCTTGACAGCTTCAGTCTTTTCTCCGTTTATCATGATGTTGCTTACTGAAACCTTACTTTAAGGAAAAAAAGGTATGTGAGAAGTTTTTTTACGCAACCTGAATTAATGGGTGTTTGTTTTTAATTTACAGAGATTTTATTAAGGAAGCATCTTTAATTAGCAAGCATTCAAATATTTTAATTGTATGGATTGATAATTACAAATAGAGATCTTTTGAAGAACATTTTAGCCAAAAAGCAGCTTTGTTTTTATTTATTTTTTTTAAAGTTTTTTAGTTTTTTCCTATACAGAAATTTATACATACATTGTCATGTGACTATAATTGCTTTACCCATACTGTGACAGCCCACTCCTCCTTTCCACGCCTGATTCCCCATGTCCGTTCAGCTAGCTCCTAACCCTCTCTGCCTTTGTATCTCACCTCTGGACAGAAGCCGCCCATTTAGTCTCTTGTATCTACTTGAGCTAAGAGGCACACTCCTCACAAGTATCACTTTATGTCCCACAGTCCAGTCCA